CCCGCCAGGGCCACGCGAGTGTGGCCACACCCTCATCAACACCCCGGGCCAACAAGCGCCATGCCAACAAAGATGCCCGACCACAACAAAGATGGCGCCAGTTTGTTGACATGCCAATCACAACAAACGCCGGTTTGTTGTGATGCAGAACCGGCCGTTATAAAAGGTTGTGGCGCCGGTTTCCCCTACCAGGTATCTCTGTTGTGATGCAGAATCGGCCATTCTCCACTACTCTGGCTACACCACATCATTAAGGATTTTTTCTATAGTTAGCAAATGGATGTATCCACTTCTTCCTTATCAGGGACCAATAAAGTTTTTTGTGTCGAAAATTCGCTGTTTTCAAGCGCATTATTACAATAATTTCTCTTCTTACGTTAGTAACGTTCTTAGTAAGTGCGAGAAAGTAAAAATTGGAGCAGTTTTTGAGAAAATCTTGTTTTTGTTATTTTTTAAATTGCCCCCAATATTGCGCGAAAACTACTAAAATTTGAATGAATTTTAATGGTCTTAATGAAAGAACTCACTATGGTACTATGGCACTATGGTATGGTAATTACTCATTAATTCTTGAATTGAGAAATACGTTTTTACATGCTCCAGGGTATTTCAAAATGTATCTTATTAATTACTTTCATTTGTTTGGTATGTTATTTCAATATGTGGTAGCAAATTTAATTTGAAGGAAAAATCTCTATCTTCAATTTTGTAGTTGCAGGAAGATGCCGCAAAAAATTCATACTAATGGAATTTTTAAAAATTCAGAGTTAACAGTAAAAATGGGCAGGCGTATGGTTGACGCCAACTTACGAGACGGACGCATCTGGTTGTGCTTTATTGTGCCGTTGTTGTTGCCGTGCTGTTGTCCGGTTGTGCCGTTGTACAACGTGTAAACAAATTACAATGAACCACCCAAAACACTAACATTGTAGTCTCGACTCTGCCCTTGTGGTACAACAGACCAACACTATGCAGCAAGATTAAACACGCAAAACCAACAATTAAAACTTTCAACTGAGAGAAACAAATGTTACATTTTTTCTCAGCAAAACACTTCATCCGGCATGGTCTTCACATGAACCTTGCTGGAAAACATACAGTCGCCAACAAGTTTGCACAACACATAATCTACTCCAGTCCTACGCAGTCTCCTATCGAAAATCCATCCCTTTCACCTTCCTTACGTTCTCCATCCCCTATCCTTGTTTCGAACCCACTTACCTCCTCCTCTGATCCTTCTCCAGTTTCTCCCACTCCCACTACTAATTCTCCTACACCAGATGCCTCAGTTTCCTCACAACCTGTTACTGCCGGGGCACACTACAACCTTCGACCAATTACTCGAGATAAAAATGGATTAAATATTGTAACATTTCTCAGTAGAGAATTAAACCACACAGGTATTATTTTAACAAATACGTTTATTTTGTTTCTTAATGAAACACTAAATGTACTAGATTTATTTACAGATAGGATTCACAGTCCTTGTGTTTTTCACTTGGTTATTTCCTTACACACGCCTCACTTCTCTTGATTATTTAGTTACACTGTTCACTTCTTATGATTATTTATTTACACTTTACTTCTAATTATTTATTTACACTATTCACTTCTTCTACACTGTCGCACAGTCCGAAACACATACTACTGCCCGATGCATTGTCCACAATCCTCTGCGCAACTACAATTCACGGCGCTGTTCAGAGTCCACTGCACTGCTGTTCATCGCGATGCACACTTAACAGCTCACCTTCCACTTCAGACTGACTTTGACTGCTTACTCAATGACTGCATACTCACACTGACGGGCTGACTGCTTACTTACTGACTGACTCGCGGTTGCCGGCAGCGGCGAAATTATACCTGGCTGGCGCCCGTCCCGACCCGTCCGGAACTTGCTTCACATTTCTACGCGACTCGCGAATAACCCGGAACCGTGCACTTCGGAGGGAGTGGGCGCCGGCAGATGTCGCAATCCGCGCAGCGAATTCCGGCAGGTGATGCAATATTCGTTACAATGTATAGCAACTACAGTCAGATGCAGGAGAAAAACATCCGTGTAGGTACTTGCAAAAAATAAACATATTGCACCATAATGTTCAATCTCTTTCAAATAAAACTGAGTTTATCGAAGCAGCTATACAGAGCGATTTAAATCAAATGGATGTTCTTTGCTTTACAGAACATTGGTAATTTTATAATGATCTTCGCATTTTCCAATTTCCAAACTTTTACCTCGCAGGTTTGTGGAGTAAGATTGTAGAGAAAAGGAATCCCATAAAGGTCCTGCATATGGGGTTTTTGCATTATATTCGAAATAATATCGATTATATTTCCTTGACGGAATTAAATGTTCTGGCGTAGGGATGTAGCGACCCCATCGCCCTGCACGCCCTTACCGGTGGGTGGGGAATGCAGAAATTAGCCTGGTTTCTCCTACCTAC